CTAAACCCGTAAACCCTGAACCCAAAACCCTAAACCCTAAACCCCTAAACCCTAAATCCTAAACCGTAAACCCTGAACCCAAAACCCTAAACCCTAAACCGAGGTTACGGGCTTCGGTTTTTTGGGTGTAGGGGTTGCAAGGGTTTTCTTGCCTCCAAGCCTTGCGGCTTCGGTTCTTCATTCCGTTGGCCTCCTGCAACAGAAGGCTACATGGCTATAGTTTAGGGCTTAGGGTTTAGGGCTTAGGGTTTAGGGTTTAGGGTTTAGCGCTTAGGGATGAAATAAAACCCTAAACCCTAAACGACGGCCCTTGCGGTTTTGGGTTTAATAGGGGTTTAAGGTTTAGGGGTTTCAGGGTCTTGGGTTAAACCCCAAACCCTAACCCCTCAACCCTCAAAACTCCCTAAACCCCAACCTGCGAGCCTCAGAAACTCCCTCCGGCCTGGGTGAAGCTGCGCAGCATCCGGCACGACTGCCCTTGCGGTTTAGTGTTTCGTAGGGGTTTAGGGTTTCGGGTTGAATCGGGGTTTAGGGGTTTGGGGTTGCCGGGTTTTGGGATTCGGATTGGGACTGTGACGGGCGACTTAGAAGCCTACTTAAAAGGCTTTGGGTTTAGGGGCCCACAGGGGATGCAAAGGGTTTGGGTTAGCCCAGATCTTCCAGATTCCGTTAGTTGAGGGAACATATTACACTAAAGATCCTACTACAATCTAGGGTGTATTCCTTGATGCTGGGATCTTGGAAGATCTGGGAGGGTAAGGCACTATCCCCAGAGAGAGAGAGAGAGAGAGAGAGAGAGAGAGAGAGAGAGAACAAAGGCTCATGCTCCGGTCGATTCTACGGTGCACCCTATACCTAGCGTGAGTCCCCCCACCGCCCCCACCCAACACATCCCCTGCTCCTGAACCCTACAGCCCAAACTGCGCAACCCAAACCCCCAAACCTTAATTAAACCCCAAACCCCAAACCCGAAACCCCAAACCCGAAACCCCCAACCCGAAACCCCAAACCCGAAACCCCAAACCCGAAACCCCCCAAACCCCCCCTAAAACAAAAACCTCACAGTAGTGTCCGCGTCCGTTTGTGTTTGGGCATCGGAGATCGGAGTTTCGAGCTGTGGTTTCAGGCGAATGCTGGGGTGTATGTTCTTTGGGGTTCTGGGTTTTCCGGGTTAAAATTTTGTTTTTCAAGCTTGTAGGGCAAGATTTGATGCATCCTGGGGTTTAGGGCTCGAGTTTCTTTAGGGTTTAGCGTTCCGTACTGAAAGGCGTTGAAAGGCTTCCTTAAAAGGCTTAGAGGGTTTAGGGTTTAGGGGTTAGGAGTTAGGGGTTTAAGGGCCAGGGGTTTAGGGTTCAGGGGTTTAGGGTTTAGGGTTTAGGGTTAAGGGTTTGGCGGTTTAGGGGTTCAGGGGTTTAGGGCTGGAACGTACATAGGAGTTTGTAGTTATATGGGGTTTAAGGACTTGGGGGTTGGGTTTAGGGTGCCGCACAGGGGTTTCATGAAGACTTAGACAAGTCTTCTATACGTTAATCTGCATCTGCTTGAGGGTTTTTGATATAGAGTCTTGTGCGGGTTCTTCAGTTTGGGTTTTACATGCTGGTCCGAGGTCCTACTCCGGCGTGCAAGGGTGCAAGGGTGCATTCTGAGTGGGCACAGGTGCTAGAAACTTGCCGTCCAAACTCGGGTCCTTATAACCTCAATTGTTGCAGGGGTTTGGGTTTACTGGTGTTCGAGGACTAGAACTTCGCCCCTAAACCCGAAACCCTAAACCTTAGCACCTCGAGCATCGGAAATCTGAGGCCGGGGGATCGAAACTCCAAGCCGTCGCACCCTGAATCGTCGACTCTGTTTCCCAAGCGCAGCTTAGGGTCTAGGGTTTATTCAGGGTTTAGGGTTTAGGGTGCTCCGAGCAGCATGTTTTTGGAAGCTGGATCTCTCTGATGTGTGGAAGGGGCGGAGACAAGTCAACTCGTGTGACCTCTCTCCGAGAAAAGCTAAGCCCTAAACGCGAAACCCTTAGGGTTCAGGGTTTCGGGTCGCATCCTCCGACGCGAATTGCGAGCAGAGAGGAGCCACTGATGGGCCACCGTCGCTTCCAAAGAGAACACATGGCGAGACTCGCAGGACTTCTTGGAGGGTAGAGGGACTTAGTTATAAGTACTTTAAAAAGGGTTATAGCTGGTTATCAGTGTAGTTACCTTATATATAACCCTAGTTACGAAGTCCGATGAAAGGTAAGCCGCGTAACATGAGGGATATCACCCGATTCACAAAAGGTGAGCACTCGCAGCCATGCAATTGTGGGCGAGGCCACCGAATCGGGAAACCCAGAGAGTCAGAGCCCGGTACCCCTTCACGAACATACTTTAACTTATCGGTTTAGGGTTTAAGGTTTAGGGGAAGCGTAACCTTGGGATGTGAGGTACATTACTTTAACTGTTTTCGCGCGAAAAAAGGGATCGAGCTCTTTGGGGAAAGGGCGAAAAGCCGTAAAGTCACACCTTCAGGAGTTCACGGTGCCAAGCTCAGCGCACGCCTGCTGCACAGCAGCCACCTGCACGTTTCAGAAAACAAGGCTTGAGGTGTCAAGGTTTAGGGGTTTTGGGGGTCAGGGTCAAGGTTATGAGGGACCCCTGATATAATAATCCCGAACATAACATAAACCCTAAAAATATGATATCCTGAATTACAGTAATAAGGGCAGCGACAAACCCCATCAAACTCTAAAAATGCTCCACAAACCGTATAAGCCCTTGCAAAACCTTATGCAGTCTTTAAGAAGCATTGTAGAACCCTTTCCCAACATCTATCACATTGCTACACACCCCTTATCAAACCCCAAACCCTGAACCTTAAAACCTAAACCAAAGAACTCTAAACCCTATCCCCACCTGTAGGCGTTTCCTCGCCAAGAAGGCATAGACGTGACCCCCCGGCTGCCACACGAGCGCTTGCTGTGCACCGGGCTTACAGCACTTGCTGGTCAACGTGAAGAGCCTAAAGATTAGGGGTTTTGGGCTAAGGGGTTTAGGGCTTAGGGTTTTTGGGTTTAGGGTTTTAGGGTTTAGGAATTTAATTTAGGGTTTTAGGGTTTAGGGTTTAGGGTTAGGGCTTTTAGTAGTGACCCTTCTCTTGGAATACATATACATAAACTGCAAAAAGCAGTAGCAACCCGCGAACACAAGGTGAGACCAAAAAAGACTAACTTAGATACACCAAGTATACCGAGGGTTTCGGGTGTAGGGGATTCTGCGTAGTACTCCTGCGTTATCTATACCCCCAATAAGCCCTAAGCCCTAAACCCTAAAACCTAAACCCTAAACCCTAAGCCCTAAAACCTAAACCCTAAACCCCAATAAGAAGAACCCAGGAGCTCCCTAAAGCCGAAACCCCTCAAAAACATCCGAAGAGCCGCCCATAAGAAGAACCTGGGGTCTAGGGGTTTAGGGTCTAGGGTTGAGGGAGGGTTTAGGGTTTAGGGTTTAAGAGCCCCGCATAACAAGAACCTGGGGTCTAGGGCTTTGGGTTTATATAGGGTTTAGGGAGGGTTCAGGGTTTGGGAACCCCCCATGTAAAAATAGCCTAGGAGCTCCTCCCCATACTCCGGCTTCACGAAGCTATCATTCTCGAAGCTCACGGCACGCAGCCCAGCGATCTGGGCCTTGCCTTCCAAAGGCACGAGGATCTTCGACAGATGGGTCTGCAAGAGCACCTGAAATCGGGGTGTAGGGTTTCGGGTTTTAGAAGCAGCCAAAACAACCTGGATTAGCGAATATACATCTGATTTCGATGCCAAGACTCAGCCCTCCATTGTCTATAGCCCTAGGTATCCTCGTTGAAAAAAGGAGCACACAAACCCCCTTTCACAAACCTCATAGAACCCTAAACAGACCCGCCTTCAGGAGTCGATCGCGAGTCTCCTCGAAGGGTTCATCCTCCTTCGCGAGGGAAGACCACCTTAGACGATTGAGAGTTTAGGGTTTAGGGCTTAGAGTTTAGGATTTAGGGCTTCGGATTTAGGGATTAGGATTTAAGGTTTAGGGTTTAAGGTTTAAGGTTTCGGGTTTAGCGTTTAGGGGTTTAGGGATTGGCCCACAGGTTCCCGAAAACGCAACTAGGGATCTTCCGGTGTTGTATAACAGCTTGCAGCATGCAGCGGTTTCAAAGGCTTTTTAAAAGATGCTATAAGGGTTGTAAAGGTATGTATGTATGTATCTATGCATGTGTGTATGTATGTATGTATTTAGAAACATAGGTAGTCTTGCAACGGTTTTTATAGGGCCCTTATAGGGTCATGTAGGGCCTTGCAGGGGTTGATCATGTTGTTGGTAGGGCCCTTTTTTCCATGGTATTTTGTAGGCTTTCTCAACATCTTCACTTCGGAATATACGTAGATCTTAAAAGAGTTCTTAGTAGGGCTTCAAGTAAATTCCCTAAACCCTAAACCCTAAACCCTAAACCCTAAACCCTAAACCCTAAACCGAGGCCCTCTGGATTCTTAGCTAAGCCGCTGGATGTCGTCCTGGAGAAGCCCATCGACCAGGACCGCTGGGGTGGCAGAGCCTATACTGGAAAGTCTCGTTTAGGGTTTAGGGTTTAGGGTTTAGGGTTTAGGGTTTAGGGTTTGTCAAACAGGGCCTGAATAACTTAGTGACTCTTCAAGCCCCTATATCAAGCCCTAAGCTCTAAACTTTAAGCTTTATGGTTGAGGCCTCTTCAACCTTTCAGGTTTTCTGAACCCGACAACCCCAAATCCTAAACCCTGAACCCTAAAACCCTAAGCCCTTAACCCTAAACCCCTAAACACTAAACCCCCAAACCCTAAACCCGTAAAAACCCCCTAAACCCTAAACCCTTAAACCCCCTAAACCTAAACCCCACACCCTAAACCTTAAACCCCTGAACACTAAACCCGTAAAACCCTCTAAACCCTAAACCCCAAACCCTAAACCCTAAACCCTGAACACTAAACCCCTTAAACCCCCTAAACCCTGAACCCCTAAACCCTAAACCCGTAAAAAAAAACCTAAACTTTTAAACCCGTAAAAACCCCTAAACCCTAAACCCGTAAAAAAACCCTTAAACCCTAAACCCTAAACCTGTAAAAACCCCCAAACCCTAAACCCTTAAAACCCCTTAAACCCTAAACCCTTAAAACCCCTTAAACCCTAAACCCTAAACCCTTAAACCCCCTAAACCCGAAACCCCTCTAAACCCCCTCAAACCCCAAAACCCCTAAACCCCCTAAACCCTAAACCCCTAAAGCCCCAAATCCCCTAAACCCTTAAACCCCCTAAACCCTAAACCCTGAAACCCCCCTAAACCCTAAACCCGTAAAAAACCCCTAAACCCTCCTTTTTTTTCAGCACGGACTGAGGTGCCGCCCTTAAACCCCCCAAATCCCTAAACCCCCTAAACCCCCTAAACCCGGCCTGCGTAGGGCACTGCCAGGATCTGTGCCGAGGGCTCCCAAATCGAGGCGAGGATGGCCGTGAGGCAGGTCATGGCCCCACCCCACCTTAGGGGTTTAGGGTTTAGGGTTTAGGGGTTTAGGGCCTCCTACTTAGGGTTTAGGGTTTAGGGTTTAGGGTCATTGCCCCACCCCACCTTAAAGGAGCCCTTGAAGGAAGCCTTAAAGGATGCCTTAAAGGAGCCCTTAATGGAGCCCCTAAAGGAACCCTCAAAGAGTTTAGGGTTCTGGGTTCAGGGTTTAGGGCTTAAGGTTTAGGGCTTAGGGTTTGGGGTACACTAGTTTTCTACTGCTACTTTCGGGTGTAGGGTCATGGCCCCACCCCACCTTAGGGGGCTAGGGTTTTGTGCTTAGGGCTTAAGGTTTAGAGTTTGGGGCTTAGGGTCTAGGGTTGTTGTTCAAAGGGTGTCGCTCGCACTTTCGTTCGGGTTTTGGGCTTGCAAGGTCTTTAAGGTTTACAAAGCGGCTGGTTCAGGGGCTCGGGTTCAAGGTTATGGTAGTTATGCTGGTTCAGACGGTTTAAGAAGTAGGCTTTAGCGAAGTCAACTTGCCATAAGAACTTCCCTACTTGTGATATCTTAAACTGAATCCCTGAACGGACCCTTCTAGAACCCTGGTAACCCTGATGGAACCAGCTCGGAACCCGTGTAGCAAACCTTATAGCAAGCCTCATAGAAAACTTAACAAACGCCCAGCGACGAAAAGCCGGAGACGCAAATCGGGACCCCTGGCCAGCAACGAACGCACCATCGAATGGCGACAGCGGCCTCTTTGGGTTTATGGTTTGAGGTATAAACTTTTTGCTTTTTGGTTTTAGGGTTTAGAGCTTAAGGTTCACGCATTCTAGAGCTTTAGGTTTTGGGGGTGGAGGTGTAGGGCTTCAGGGGTCTAGGAGTTTAGGGCTTATCGGACGGATCCAAGCAAGGTCTGCAGAAGTCACTCGGGAAAGAAAAGCTTCGAAAGGGAAGAGCCGGGCTTAGGGTTTAGGGCTTCAGGGCTTTAGGGTTTCGGCTCTTTAGGGTTTAGGGTTTAGGGTTTAGGGTTTCGACTCTCACACTCGCACAGGGCTGGCAAGGCTCCGCATAGTTCGATCTCCACTTTGCTACGGGTCAATCAAGCAGCTGTTGTGCACAAAGCCAGGACCCCAAATGTGTATCAAAGGGTTTAGGGTTTAGGGTTTAGGGTTTAGGGTTTAGGGGCCTCTTCAACGATTGCAGTGCTTTGCTCCAGATACATTCCCACGGAGCGGACGTAGTGCATCTGCTGGTTCTTTGGCTTGCGGCTGCCGTAGAAGGGGGCGGTCGGGACCAACGAACACATCCCGGACTTTGCAAGCTCTTGTGCAAGGGCGACTCGTCCACCTCGTCCTGTCTAAACCTTGAAACCTTATTAGGGTTTAGGGTTTAGGGTTTAGGGTTTAGGGTTTAGGGCTTAACCCTTCCACTTTTTAATTCTGAACGCTAAAACCTCTCTGACTTATAATTCCAAAACCCTTCTCCCTAAACCCTAAACCGCTGAAGTCCTTCTTCCCCTGTGGCTGGGAGGAGCACCACGATGGCCGAAGGTGCCGAAGAGGCTTCGGTCGATGCATCCCAGGGCCGGATCGATGATTCCTGAGCCGACCAGCGTGCGGTTTAGGGTTTTAAGTTTTAAGTAGTATGTTATAACTGTTATAATAGAATCATACATAGCCTTTTGAATCCTAAGGAACAGATAACGGGCAATATTCCTGAAACTGACCCTGAAACCTAAACCCTGTTAGAACCTTATATATACATATATAGAAGCTTACATAACTACCAATCTCATTCCTTCCAGCTCCTTGATACGGTTGATGATATTCCTGCCTTACGTTAAGGACCCTAAACTATGGGAATTCTGGCATATTCCCTATTTTGGGGAGTGCAGGATTTATATCATCAACGGTATAATTACACTACGAAGGAGAGCAAAAAGCAACTGAAACTCTGACGGCCCTACGCTATGTAGAACCTTACTTGTCCAGTATCCCGGTAGAACTGAAGGTTAACACCGAAAACCTTTTAGGGAATTAGGCTTCTTGTTGAAAAAATGGGTTTAGGGTTTAGGCTTTATGGAAATTTGCAAACCCTTTTTTGCTGCAGGCTTGCAAGCAAGAACGCCTGGTAATTTGCAAACCCTAAACCATCAAATTAAGGAATCCGTATCGAGTTTCTTGTGGCGACACGAAGAAGAAGCTCACGTCGCCCACCTCCTCGGGCAGTCGCTCAGCCTGTGGGCTCCGGAACGTCGCGGCACAGACATTTCCTTTGGACGAAGGTTTAGTTAGGGATATTTAGCGTTTAGGCTTCCGGGCAAAGAGTTTAGGGCCTAGGGTTTAGGGTGTGGGCTCGCTGTTAGGAAGGAGGATCCCGCTATACGGCTTCCTTTCAGCATCCCCATGAAGGTTTCTGCTAGTCTTTTGTTTATGGGCGCCCTGTCTAAAATCTTTCAACACCTGAAAACAAATTCTGTACGAGACGAGAAGTAAAAAGGACCACTGACAAGGCCTGGCGAGGAGCCTTTGGGCTCGCCCCACTGCATTTGAGGAAGCTCCGCAGGCTCGCGCTCGAAAATTTCCACTTGTGCGGCCTCGGCTGCCTTGACGTCGCCCCAGCCGTCCGCAAAGAAGCGCGGCCGCTGTGACCGGAGATGGGTCAAAGTGTATGCATTATCCAAGGCACCGAGTGCCCAACTGAAGCCAGACCACATCACGAAGGTGAGCAACCCCAAACCCTCAAAGACAGTCGCGACAGGCGGGCAAATGCCGACTTGAGCCCAAAAAATGTTGCGGGTTGAGGGGCCCATCAAGAAGCATTAGGTTTAGGAAGCACGGCGTAAAGTCAGCGGGAATTTCCAGCGCTGTATAACCATAACCCTAAACCCTAAACCCTAAACCTTAGCCATAAACCCTAAACCCTAAACCCTAGACCCTAAGCCTTAAACCTTAAACCCTAAACCCTAAACCCTAAGCCAACTGGCAAGTGCTTCCGGTCCTTGCACAAGCCGCTGAAGCTGGGTGAAGTACCGAACATCCCGCACCTGAGAGGTTGAGCGCTCAGGGTTCAGGGTTTAGGGTTCAGGGTTTAGGGTTCAGGGTTTAGGGTTCAGGGTTCAGGGTTTAGGGTTTAGGGTTTAGGGTTTACGGAGGGTTTACCTAGACACCTACCCTTTTAAGGGCTCATAAAAGGAACTCCTAATAAGGAACCCCAAAAAAAAGGTAGGTTCTTCAGGGTTCAGGGTTTCAGGCTTCGGGATTAGGCCCGAGACCCTGAATTATAGGATCCTAAAGGAAGGGTGGCTCAAGGGGGGAGGGTCCTAGGGAGCTTTAGGGAACCTAAGGGAGTACTAGGGAGAAATGGGGATTACTGTGTTATATACCCCCCCTAAACCCTAAACCCTTTTTACAGCAGGCCTCGTACACAGCAGCCCGGTCCCCAGCACACTCGCGCAAAACCCTAAACCCTAAACCGTCCCTAAAGCCTAAACTCGAAAGCATAAACCCCGCTTCGTGGGGCTTGAGGTGCGGCGCCTAGGCTGTCTTGAGTCCTTTGAGGTTTAGGGCTTTAGGGTTTAGGGCTTAGGCTGACAATTCGGGTTGTAGTACACAGGTCGGAAGAGTTTCCCAAAACCCTCTTCCAACTGATAGGACCTCCAAATTTGGAGGACGAGGCATCCTAACTATGAGGGCCCCTACATTTACATCCAGGACTCTTGCAGGCCCTACACTAAACCCTTAAACCCTTAAACCCTAAACCCTAAACCTTAAACCCGAAACCCGAAACCCTAAACCCGAAATTGAATCGTTTGCATCGTTTCGAGGCCGTTTTGGTGGTAGCTCTCAGGCTGACGTCGAAAAATTCTGTTCAAGTTCAGTTGTGGAATCCTTAAGGGAGGGGTTTCAGCACTCACAACTGGGA